CTCTCTCTCTCTCTCTCTCTCTCTCTCTCTCTCTCTCTCTCTCTCTCTCTCTCTCTCTCTCTCTCTCTCTCTGTGTGTCTCTCTCTCTCTCCCTCTCTCCAAACTCTGCGTCAGTCATGGTCAGTGGGCCTCCATCGACGTGCGCAAAAGACAAAAATCATCACGGTGTATCTTTCCATGTTCGCGCGGAAGATTCACTCTCATTTTGCAAATTTCAAGAGTAGTGGAGCCACGGGCCTTCTTTGTTTTCGATTTGTTGTTTTTTTGGGCAGAAGAATTGTAGATTTTTTTTTACTCGTTTTTTTCTTTTTCTTTTGGTGAGTACCTACCGGTAGCTCAAGGCTCGGCATGGTTCGGGTTACCGGTAGGCTGAGCCACGGGCCTTAACAACCGTTAGGTACTGGTGGTTTAACGATGTTTCTGGTTTTTTTTTGGGGGGGGGAGGGGGGGGGAACTACGTGGGAGGCACAGAAATGAGTCATAATTGCACTATGGGCCAAGATAGAGTTCCGAATTGCAGATCCGGCAATTTGTACAACCCAGCTTTCCGGCCAGGTAGGGTGCCCGAAATGCAATTGCAAACTGTATCTTGCCCCATAGTGCAATTATAACTTGTTTTTGTGACTCTACTGAAGTTACCCCCTTTTTTTTTTCTTTTTTCTTTTTATTAATAAGGCGCTGACCTTGACATGGCAGCTTGAACTGACCTCGTGGGGAGCAGCACTTGCTAGGAACCGGGCCCAGCGTCCCCTATAATTCCCTCCTTGTAGGAGGGTCCTGTAGCTTACAGCTTGCTGCAGTCAAGTCAGTCATCTGTCCGAACAGCCAACTTCAATGGCTAATTGTTCAGGGATGCTGGACCTGCTTTCCAGCAGGTGCTGGTCCCCACCAATAGATGGAGCCTCCTCGACGGTGCTATTGGTGCTTGCTGGCCCTGCTCCTATCGGCACCCCTCACACTACTAGCTCGGGTTGTTCTGCTAAAAAAATAAACTAAAATAAATAAGAAGGAAAAAAAAACATGAGATTAGGAGAAAGGGTCCAACAGGGCCAAGCTCAAACTTGGCGACTATAGTAGGATAAATAGGCATCTGGAACAATAGACATTGCAAGCCACAGATGGTCTGCTGGCAACATTGCAGCTATGGATAGTCTGTAGGCACCACTTTCAGATTCTGCTATTCCTCCACAATTTCTCAGGTCTCAATGTGAGGGAGCTGGACCCGATTTCCAGCAGGTGCTGCTCCCCACTAATAGATGCAGCTTCCCAGGGAATGCTAGGGTAGCCTGCTCTTATCAGCTCCCCTAGCATCAACCCAGGGTGTGTTTCTTTAAAAAACAAACAAACAAAAAAAAAAAACTTTTTTTTTTTTTTTTTTTTTTTATTATATATATATTGAGGCCGAGGTCCTCACAGTCCACCCGGAGTGACGAAAAGAAAAACTGCTGTAAACATTTGAAGATACTGAAGCATTTACCCAGCCCAGCCTCAGTTGAGAAGCGTTTCAGAGGATGCTATGAAGAAGATGCGACAGACGATGAACTCTACCAAACCCTACGTTCCAAGGGAGGTTATGTATCTTAGGGGCTGATCCCACCTCTTTTCTTTTTGGGAAGAAAGCTAAAAGAACCGTTTTTGCAGGGTCCGTCCCGCTCGCTCCGTGTTATAAAATCTGGATCCCACATGCCCTACTTCTGCGGGACTTTTCCCAACGGTGCGGCACTATCTTGTGGCGCCTCGAGGATCCAACGGCCTGCACGTCAGGAAAAAAAAAAAAGGAAGAAAAAAACAAGGGCTCCTTCTTTCACGGTTTAGGGTACGGGGGTGGCATCTTTTGATTTTTGAAAGAACTACAGGTCCTCAAATCGCGCTGGGCACTGCCATGTACTAGGCGGTTTCCACTTCTTCGAGAAAACAGGGCCACCACCGGCTCTCGTGGAAAGAGGTGGGATCCTGAAATTTACCAAAAAGTGCCTCGCCTATAAGAAGTGGGATCTAGGCCGTTAGGGGCTCGTTAGACATTCCTTGGGGCGTCCTCGGGGCCGAAGGAAGTTTCCTTGGGGGTTTCGAAAGAAATTCCCGCCGTCGTTCCACCTATCCTTGGGGTGGTGTCCCAAGGATGATTCCTTTCGGCCGCCGGCGGCCATTTTCATAATATTATAGACAGCCGCGAGGGGAAGGCAATGCCTTGGTCCATTGGGTGATGTCCGTCTTGCTACGGTGTGGTCCAGCTGCCGAAGGCAGGAAATTTTGAAAGGCGCTGACGACCGGAAAAAGAAAACCCTTAAAAAGCAATGGACCTTCCCGTTCGAAAATCCAATTTCAAATTGGTTGCTGGACGTCACGACAGCGATGCGGGGCAGGTGGCGTCCATATATGCAACGGTGGAAATGGCCCAAATTTCAAACGGGCATTTGCAGCGGCGCAGTGGAGTCCTCGTAGGTCATCACGAATTTGTGAGCACCCCACGAAGGTCCATCGCCATCACCTCTGCATGCCGCCACGCCTATGTGTCGAGTCGAGCACACGTGTGGAACGTCGTCAGGGGATTGGGGCTGAGGTTACCGTGGTTGTGGCGAGTTGATAGGCTGTTGGATTTTCGTGGTTCATGAGCATTGCAACACACGTGCCGATGGAGGGCGGCAGCGACGTCGCACGTGTGAAGTTGGCGATAATCGAGAAGACGGCTGTGGCAGCGGCCATGACGGCCGTGATCTTTCGTTGCCAGCAGGAGAGAGCATTGGGCAGAATAAGAGCGCAGATCCGCACGCGGAGGAGGAAGATACTTCATCAAGTCCCGGTCGAAGGCTGGATACCGTGGCCATCAGCAAGGCTGCAGTTCAGGTTGTGGGTTGCAGTATTCTTCCACGAGTGACGCCGAGGTGGTGGATGAAAAGGAGGAGGGGGGGGCGTGGGAGGATCTCAAGCAATGCGATGATGCGACGGAGGAGTACTTCTGGGAGAAGCTGCGTATGTCACCACGTGTCTTTTAGGCGATGGCGATTGCATCCAGTGTGGACGAACGCCCGCGGGATGCACTGCCGATGTCGATGTGGACTGTAGTCAGTGTCAATCCCTCATCTTCTCTGCGGGAGGCCTTCAATATAGGTCAGCCATCATCGATAGAGCACACGTGGACCATTGATGATGGCCGACCTCTATCGAAGGCCTCCAGCAGAGAAGATGAGGGATTGACACCGACTACAATCGACATCGACATCGGCAGTGCATCCCGCGGGCGTTCGTCCACACTGGATGCAATCGCCATCGCCTGAAAGACACGTGGCGACATACGCAGCTTCTCCCAGAAGTACTCCTCTGTCGCATCATTGCATTGCTTGAGATCCTCCCACGCTCCCCCCCGGCACCAGCTTTCGGACCTGCGCCATCTTCCTCCTCCCCACCCTCCCCCCCCACCTCTTTTTCAAATTTTGGTGTTTTTGCAAATAGGGCGACGAGGCCTCTTTTTGTATTTTCATGAATTAATGTGCATTGTTCGTAATCAGGGAGGCCCGTCCTTCTCAGGACCTTCGTCATTCTTTGATCGATTTTTTGGAATTTCATATTTTTGCAATACATGGGAATTACGTGCGCTTTAGCGAGCGCGCTAGGGATTTGGCTCGGCGGTTAGGAATTCCGGAATAAGCGGGGCCCGAAGTGTCCTTTTTTTCTTTTCATGAATGTTATCGGCTTCGTATCGAAAAATTCTGGGACTTCTTGTGTGAATCTGAATAGACGTAGGACTTTTTCCCGCGTTCACGCTATGTGCGGAACTGGTGTTTTTTCAATTTGAATTAACGTAGGATTATGAAGGAGCTGTAATTGTTTCGGTGCCCCTTTTGCTTTCGTATCGGGGCCATGCATGCGAAGCTCTTCAACCTTCCCCCCCCTCCCTCTCCGTTTCCCCCGCTACCTTCGACACTCTCTTCTTCGCGCTCACGCTCTCTCTCTCTCTCTCACTCTCCGTCTTTCTGTAACCGTTTTTCCATCTCTGCTTTGCCTTGCGCGCCTTTTTCTCTTTCTTGATCATATGAATCTCGGTAACGTTTCAC